GTTAGTAACGCGATGGACTTGATCGATTGTCGAATGTTTGTTACGGAATCCAAACTGATGGTCCGGTATAAGATGTTTTTCTTCTATAATTGGTTTTAGACGTTTAAGTAGAAGTTTCTCTAAGAGTTTAGACAAACTCGGAAGGAGGGATATGGGACGGTAAGATGTGACATCTTCTGGTGGTTTTCCTGGTTTGAGCAACATAATGACTTGTGCCCGTTTCCATTGTTCTGGAATGTATTCCATACGCAAAATAGCATTGTATATGTGCGTAAGATGAATGATGGCCTTCTTAGGAAGCTCTTTAAGTATTTTTGGACTTATTTCATCATAGCCTGGTGCTTTTTTGGGGTTTAAACTGTCATCTATTACTTTAGCAACTTCTAATGGAGTGAAATTTTTAATCTTTTTACGTGTTGTACTAAGCTGCGGACATTGTACAATGTCAAGCTCAGAGTCTATGGCGTTTGGTAGAAATACGCGTTCAAGATGTCGAGCGTATATTTCTGCTTTTTCTTGTTCACTGCGAGCCCAGGTGCCATCTTCTTTGCGGATGGGTGGTACCTGAACACGAGGTCTCTTCATATGTCTTGTGGCTTTCCATAACGAATAATCGGTATTATCTGTTGCAGAGAGACCACATACGTATGATTTGAAAGTAACGTTTTTCATCTCTTTAATTTTGTTATGAAGAATTTTGCTTACACGGTTCCATTCAGTTTTATCTGTTGGATGTCGTGTATTATGCCATGTTCTTCTCGCTCGGCGTTTTTGTTGAACTAGATTTTTTATATCCATTGGGTAGGTAATCTCGCGATTATCATCTGTTGGTATTATGGGTGTGGCCACTTTCGCTGCTTTTACGATGTTATTAGTCAGTTGTTCAACAGCACTATCAATTTCAATAGATGTTTTTAGTCTTACTGTGAATCAAACAGCATATGGAAAAGAAAAAACATACGTCAGCCTTATCTAGTGCTTCAAAAAGTGACAAAGTAACCTCATATTTTATTAAACAAGGACCAGCTGGCTTAA